AGGTCCATCACATTCCACCCCTCTGCCATGGCCAGAGATACCTTCCAGTAGATGAGGTTGCTTCAAGCTCTATCCAGTGTTTTCGTTACTGTAGTAAAAATCACATGTAGGACACATAACACACCCGTGGAGTGAGCTGTGCTGGTGGCAGCTGCAGTTTCCTCCTCTCCCGCCCACAGGTTTGTTGCACGTGCACCAGGTCTTGACAAAACTGAATTTTTGGGCTGTGCACTGTATTTCAAGCAGCATTCTGTTTCCCTGGTGAGTTATGTGCTTTTCACACACATTATGAAATAGGAAGGAATGCATTAAAAAAAAAAGCAAACACCACACTGTTGCTGAAACGATTTGATTTTTGCATATTTTTTAGCAGAAATTTCTGTCTTATCATTATCTCCAGTTCTTGCTGGAGCAGCAGTGTTCAGTAAAGCCACACATTTTTGCATAGGAAGGTCAAGACAGTTTGTTCCACCCGTTATTTGGTGTTAGGCATCTCTACAAGACAGTTTGTGTTTCCAAGAACTGAACCTTCCCCATGGACAGTCCTTTTTCTTCTTTCTCTGAAAGATTAAGCCACTGGGAATTAATTAAGTTATGGCATATTCAATAAATCATTTTTCCAGGTTTGGAAACAGGCATAAGTTAGATTTTTCACAGAATCTCAGGCTGGTTTGAGTTGGAGGGAACCTTAAAGCTCATGTCATCCCACCCCCTGCCATGGGCAGGGACACCTTCCACTATCCCAGGGTGCTCCAAGCCCCATCCAGCCTGGCTTTGGACACTTCCAGGGATCCAGAGGCAGCCACAGCTTCTCTGGGCAACCTGTGCCAGGGCCTCACCGCCCTCACAGGCAGGAATTTCTTCCTGTTTCTAATTAACCCTTCCTTCCTTGAGCATAGGTTCAGTTTACTATCACTAAACTTACTGGGTGACTAAATAAGAGAGACTGAAGTAGGCTGAGAGGTAGGAGAGGGTGATAGATATATATCTAAACTTACCTGTTTCATTGAGCCTCTGTAGCTCATCATGGAACAGCCCAAATGAGCAGCACTGTCATTTCCCGGAAGCTCAGGTGCCACCACTTAATGAGAACCTTCTAGAGCACAAGTGCCATAAGGGAGGGATTTAGTGTTCTCCTGAGGATTGAAGGCTTTCTCAGCAGGGAGCTGTTGTAGTGTGTTGAGCTACTCTAAAATCTTTTAGATAAGTCTCTGTGTGTCTGTGCAGCGTGGAAAATGAGGATGGTTTGGCTTAGATTGGGGTTGTCTTCTGATGTCTGCAAGAGCAGAGCCCATGGAGCAGTGTGGGGATGAAACTGAGTTTGGCCATTATCTGCTCACCAGACAATTAGTGCAGGGTGGATGGGGCTTGGAGTGACTTGCTCTAGTGGAAGGTGTCCCTGCCAATGCCAAGGGGTTGGAATGAAATGAGTTAAAGGTCTCTGCAACCCGAAGCATTCCATGATTTTATCATTGAACCATATATGTTTGGAACAGGGTGAGCAATGTGCACTTGCACACCTTTTAAGTCTATTTCAAGGATTTTGATGCAGGAAAGAGGGATGAGTATGTAGGAATTACACCAAGCCCACTGAGATATTGTGTGTTCCCTACAGCTGTGCCCTTGGCCAGAAAGAAGGATAAGCACTGAGGTTGGGGGGCTCGAGTACTGGGGGGACTGTAGAGTCCTTGCAGGTACAGCAGGTTCAGGAGATGCCCCTGCACTGTTTTGCTTTGACATTTTGTGTTCAGAGTTGCTGATGCCTTTTGAGAGAAGATCTGTGGAGCTCCCTCTTAATCACCAAAGCACCAACATTCCTGAGGAGGTCCAGGTTTACCCCCGGGGGCTGCCCTGGTTCAGATCAGGGAGGATATTGCTGGTGGGAGGTCACCCCATAATGCAGATGTGCTCAGCCTGTTTTCTTCTGTGGAAGTATTTAACACCTTTCTCGTCAGGTTGCTTCCAGTTCCAAAGCTGCCTTATCTGGAGGATGTTCTTCAGATTAAAAATCCTTAGATATAAATACATACTGTACTCCTTTCTGATGAGATTGTTACTCCAAAATCTCTCTCTGGGATTGTATCTGAGTTTTGTTGTAGTCTGCTTATTTCCATAGTGTTTAGTACCTTTTCCACTCCAGACTTGTAAAGAGTCTGTCTTTTACAGGCTGTCTGACATCAAACCTTCAGCCTCTACCAAAAAAGCCCCTCCAATTTAAGTATTTACAATGTGGCAGTTCAGAGCAGAAGGTTAACAGCACTGCTTGAGTGCTCATACAATAGTGGAGCATCTTCCTCCAGCATCCAGGGAACTCTGGAGACACCTGCAGGCTCAGCAAAATCATGTTATGGGATAGCAAGGGAAGAAAATTTAATTTAAATAAAAACCTGCTTGCGGTTTGGCTGTGGGCAGTGCTTTCTCTAAGGGATGGGTTGAAGAGCAGTGGAGTGGGAGCCTCGCTCTTTGTGTCTGCTCTGCTGTAGGCTGAGTTGGAAACAAAACACCACTTGGCACCCATCTCCTTGCAGGAAAAGCCCTTTTCTTCTGTGTATAATCACAGACTGGCTTGGGTTGGAAGGTTAAAGACCATCTTGTTCTACCCCCTTGCCATGGACAGTCTCAGTTATGTTACTTAAAAATATCTTTGCTTTTGATAATGAATGTAGGGAAAATAATTTCTGAGCATAAAACTTCCAAGAGAGGAAGCCAGCCAGGAGTCCATGCATTGGAGCAGTGCACTTGGGTCTCTCAGCAAGATGTTTGCTGTACCCAGTGAGTTATTAGTGCTGGCTGCTATTAAATGTTAATTGAGAAAAGAAGGTCTCCTTTGCATCCCCAGCACTGCCGAGGGGATCTGGCTGAGCTGCAGCATGGTTCTTGGGGGAGGGAGGAAAGACAAGGAGATGTTTGGTCATTGCCAGCCAGACCCACCTTCCTGCACCGGGAAAGGTCCATGACTGTGGCTTTGAAATGTAAACAAGCCAACAAATCTTGTTCCAAACTGTTGGTGTTTAAAGACCGAAAAGTACATCCAGAGGAAATGTTCCTTTGTGGACTGTCCCTGGGGCTTCCTGCAGCCGATAAGAGCTGCTCCTCAGCTGTGCCCTCCCCACCAACGTCATCTCTAAAGCTTTGGTTCTGCCTTTTTGGTTTGAAGAGCAACTCATCCAGTGTTACACGTTTTGATAATGATTCCTAAAAATGTATTTAATTCAAAACAAACACAGTGGGAAGCAACTACAAAGCAGGCTATTCCAACAGCTGGTGCCTGAAGGAGCTGGCTGCTGGTGTGTGATTGTGGTGGGACAGGCTTGCAGAACATCCCTTTCATTCTGTGTGTGTGCTGGGGCATTAGGAACTTTACCCTGGGTATTGGCATAGTGGGTTTGGGGTGATGGGTGTTTGGCTGAACAGAGTCCTTGGCCTCTTCACTGCCTTGTAGCATCTCCAGGAGTTCTTGGAGAGCTGACGAGAGCAGAAATTGGCTGTGTGGTGGCTGGGATTTTGTCTGCAGTAGGAGCCATGGGTTGCTAACAGAGTCTGCAGCATCTATGGCAAAGGATTGCAGGAGGAAGGGGAGCAGAAGTAAGAGCTGCAAGGACAAGTCACACATATGCTGCCATCTGCAAACTGATTGCAAACACATCTGGGCACATCTGGGTTTGGGCACCCTCTCTGCCTTGTAGCATCCTTGGTCCACTGGGTGCTCATGATGCAGGTTCTCTGCTTGGGTGCCTATTTCTTCAGTGCAAGTTGGAAGCTGGTGTTTCAGTGGCCTCTGCCACTCCACTGGGTTTGGAAATACCCAGAGCAGCTCACAGAGGGGAGATGATGAGTGGAGAATAATTCAGTCTTCTGCTTCTGCAGGAGACCATGCTAAAATGAGCCCTGCAGCTTGTCCCCAAGACTGGCTGTTGGGGCTGAGTCCAAGTGAAAAAGCCCAACAAAAACCCCAAATAAAACCCTGTAACCCCAGGAAATTTGTGTTGCTGGAGAAACAAATTCAGGGAAGATCTGTGATGCTGTGCTGATTTTACCATGGTGTTAGACATAATACAAAATGTTTGCATTAAGTGCAAGGGGAAAGTCCTTTGAAGTACTGGGGGAGCTTTTCTCCTTTAAGCACTCTTGTTCTTTTAATAGTCAGAATGAGTTAAAGTTGCTGAATGCAATAATATATAGGACGATGACATCTTGAAATGTTTCTTAATTCTAAGTGTATATTTTGAGCAAATGTTTATACACTGAGGCTCAGGCTGGGGGGTTGAGGCATATTGGGTTATATGCTATTTGCTCAGTGTAAGCAGGGGCAATTTATTGCTGCAGATATATGTGATATGGTGTGCAAAGATTATTTCTATCCCCTCTAAAGCATGATTATTTTGGGTTCTCTTTATACCTTAAATAGATATTCTTCTCATGTGATTTCCATCTTTCTGTGTCAACAGCCCAGGCTAAAGTTGAAATAAACATTGCATCAGCTTAATAGCACAAGCTCTGAGGAAATCTGCTCTCCATTATGAATGTTGTTTGGAAACCTTTTCATTTGACATTTTTCCAGTGTGCAGTGCAAATATCCTACGACTCCCAAAGTCTGCTGGGCTTCACTGGATTTGCCTGGTACAGAACAATGTAATTTCTTAACACTGATGGGTCCTATTCCCAGCAGTGTGGCTTGGTGTGTTTTAGCTCATAGAATCCTAGAATGGTTTAGGTAGGAAGGGACCATAAAGACTCTTCAAAGCAAACTTTAGGAAAAGGAATGACTTTGATTTTGCTGATGTAGTAGGCTGGAGTCAGCCAGGGTTTCATCCCCTTACAGGCCATTTGCTTCAGAGTTGGACTTGATGATCGCTGTGGGTCCCTTCCACTCTGGTTCTGTGACAGGGTGGTGTGCCTGGTGAACGTGGCGTGTCTGTGCTCATGGTTGGTTTGAATAGCTCAGTCAGACATGGGTATTGGAAACCTCTTGATTGAGCCCTTTTGCTCCTCTCATACAGCATCATCATGACAACAGAAAAGAGCCCAGCAGCCAACGCTGACAACTCGGAACAGCATCAAGCCAAGGAGGAGGAAGGAGCTGCTGAAACAAAGAAGCAAGAGGCTTCCCTGGAGGAAGAGGCTCAGCCAACACCAGAGAGGCAGCCCCAGAGGCAGAAGGCCTCCAACGGAGACACCCCCACACACGAGGAGCAGGGCAAGAAAGAGCGTCGCACTTCTGAGGGCAGAGGTCTCTCCCGCCTCTTTTCCTCCTTCCTCAGGAGGCCCAAGTCTCAGGTAGCTGAAGAGGACAAAGACACTGATGCTCCTAAAGAGGCAGAAGGTGACCAGAAAAATGCAGGATTAGGAGCCAGCCCTGATGAAGATATCCTGGTGAAAGCCCCGATTGCAGCTCCTGAGCCCGAGCTTAAAACTGACCCGTCTCTGGATCTCCATTCCTTGAGCAGTGCAGAAACACAGGTAAAACATGCTATTCCATGGAGCATGCTCCCTGCTGCATTAAAATGTGTCTTTGCAGCCAGACCTATAACAACTTCATATCCCAGGCTGGTGAGTTTGACCAGAAAAGGTTATGAGATGCCAAAAACGCTTTTGTTAGCTCCCTGTGTTTCATTGTGTACTCCCCACTCTTGCATCCCTGCATCACACCTGCAAAGTACCTGTTCTGGAAGTTAGGGTCACACACACATAATTTAAAATGCCCCGTGCTGAATCATTGCTCTGCGGAGGCTTGGGATGTCACTTCAGAACACAGAGGGTTCACATTCATTGAGTCCAAAACCAGGGCTGATCGTCAGGATGTCCTTGGTGTGAGCAGGATCAAGGCAAATCAGTGGCCCAAGGTGGACATTGCAAGAGTATTTGGATTTGGGAATGGGTTTCTTCAACTTCAAGGAGCACAAGCACGGCATTTTAGGACTTGGTCATCTGCTGTGTCTGGGCTAGTGCTGAGCCTGCCAAATATAAATATTTTCTGCTTATGCATCATGTAGACAGATTTCTGCATGGTACATGTACTGAACCCAGCTCCTGGGATGTGTCAGATGTCTGTTCTTTCCGGCCAGGGTAATTTTTCATGCAAAATTTAAAGTTTAAAAATCTAAAGTAGAAATTGAGGCAGAGACACCTCAGGGGACATTGACTAAGCTGTGGATGGTTATTGATGGTGCTGGTGCCCTCTCTTCCTTCTTGGGTAGTTACAGCTCTACTATTACTTGAACCTGAAGTGGAAAAAGGTGGGTATTCCTTCTCCTCAGTTGGGAATTTCTTACATCCCAACCAACCTGTGTGTATTCCTGAAGCCAGGAATCTGGATTTCTTACCCATTGCCTTAAGTTCACAGTGGTTCCAGATACCCACAAATGCTGTTTTGGAGCAATACTTTACAAATACAAGCATTGCCAGTCGGCAATAATTGTAAATCCACCTCCTTAATATTACAAAGTTGTAGAGAGGGTAGTAGGTAACAGCTTTTCCTTTCTTTTCCCAAATTTCTGAGTCTGTGAAGACCATGGGGTGATCTCTGCTCATGTTTTATACCTCTGAGGGTTGGGATTAGCAGGATGGGGAAGAGGTGGAGATCTTCAGGCAATTTCAGCCCAGAAATTGTATTTTCAAGAGGAATTTGTTCTTGGAAGTGTTTAAGGCCAGGTTGCATGCATCTTGGAGCAACATGGTCTCTCTATTTATCTCTCATTTGCTGGTCCTGAGCCCATGTGATTTTGCACCCCAACCTTTCTTCATGGATCATTCATTTTAGATGACACATTTGTGTCTTTTTTAGTTCTCATTTTAGATCACTGTCAGTGCCTTTCTGAACTGTGACACTCGGCAGATATTTCTGCAATGAAAGCATTTGTGAGGTGCTGCAGTTTGATAAATGCTGACCGATGGGCATTAGGAGCTTTGACTGATTCCCTGCTCCCAGTTGTCCCAGTTCTGCTGGAACAGAAGTCAGCAGCTTTTGGACATTATTTAAATACCTCTGTGCACTTGTGCCTGGGTGTGATTTCATGAGATGTGATGGGCTGAACAGACAAGGTTTTGCTCTTCCTCTGCTGCAGCTCTTTGCTCCTGCTGCATCCAGCCCCTTCCAGCATCATCACAGTCTGCCGTGAACTCGTTTAACCTGCTGAAGTGGCAGAGAAAAAAAGAAAATAAACAGCTTCCTCCCTCCTCTTGTCCCCAAACTGCATATCTTTCTGCTATTTGAGTGGATTAAACTGGCTTGCAAGTGCCTTCTATAGGCAAAGAGGATGGTGGTGTGGAGGCTGCCTTCCCCTTTTGGTGGCAGAGGGCTGCTCGGTCAGCCCCAATGGCTGTGAAGCCTCAGCCCTGACTCTCCTTTTAGTGCCACTGCTACCATAAAATCCCACAATGGTTTGGTTGGCAGGGACCTTAAAGCCCTTGTCAAACCATCCCCTGCCATGGGCAGGGACACCTTCCACTATCCCAGGGTGCTCCAAGTACTATGCAGCCTGGTCTTGGACACTGCCAGGGATCCAGGGGCAGCCACAGCTTCTCTGGGCAACCTGTGCCAGAGCCTCTTCACCCTCATAGGAAGAATTTCTTCCCAATAGTCCATCTGGCCTCTGTCAGTTTAAAATAATTCTCCCTTGCCATGCCAAAAGCCAGTGCGCTGGAACAACAGCTATACCAGTGGCAGTGGGAGCACTGGGGGTTCTGCCTGGGAGGGAAAAACCTCCCGAGTCCAGAAGATGCTGTCACTAACACCATGAATGCATGATGTAATCTGATTGCCCTGATTTGTCTAATCAACCCTTACTTATTTTTTATTACATCATTTACAAAATGAAAACTTGAAAATACTTGGAAGAGTTTTAAAAATTAATACCATTCCCTTGGTCACCCCAGTTGCTGCTGTGGATCCTGGGTTACAGGTTAAATTGGGATAATGAATTCTGAGTGAGATCCCAGCCCTGCAGTGCTTGTTCCATGTGATGCTTTGTTTGTTTGTTTGACACCTCTAAATCTGGGGTTTCAGCCTGCTCAAGAGGAGAGGAGGGACGACCAGGAGCCAGAGAGAAGAGAACTCGAGGACAGGGAAGAAGGGGAAGCAAAGGAAGAGGGTGCCAAGCCAGAACTGAAGCCAGAGTCTCTGGAGACGAGAGCAGACAAGGATTTGAAAGCTGCCCAAAAAGTAGTGAAAAGACACAGAAGCATGTTCTGCAAAGTTGTCTTGCTGGATGACACCATTTTTGAGTGTTCTATGGATGTAAGTACTTTGGGAGTTTGGTTCTGTTTCTCTCTTCCCTCTCCCTTCTGCTTCTCTTGAAAAATCACCACAAACACAATTTTATAGGAGACTAATGTGCTGCCAGGGAATTACATGACAGGTTTTACTGCAGAACAAGCCTGCTGTAAGCTATAACAACTTATTTACTGTGTTGTAAAAACCCCTGGGTACTAGGAATCTTTATTGTTCTACAATTCCAGGGTGCCTTACTTTATAAAGGTGGGAGAAGTTTAAAACAAACCCAAACTTTATATTACTTGTTCTTCATGATTTCTTATTTGCATCCCAGAGTTTTTGGGGTAGGTTGCAATTGTCTAAATAACTTTTGCCTACTTGACTTTGAATAAAATGTGTTGTATAAAATGGATTTGTGCTTTTCTAGTCCCCCAGGGTACCTTTACCTCTCAGGCTGCTGGTTCACTTAGCTCCTGGTGCTTGGATGTAAAGAAAAAGACACTGTGTTTAGCCTGCAGTTGAATATATTTCCAGTAAACAATTTAAAATTATGTTGACTTAGAACACTGTAACCCTCTTCGTTTGAGAGCTTTTTTCCTCCTTTATTTTGTGTATTCTCTCATAGGGCTGTGATGCTGTCAGGGCAATAAAAAGCAAGCAGAAATCCCTATTTTAATATCAAAATACTTGTCTGGAATAATAATAATCTGGTACTTATTATTGGAACGTACTTCCACCAGCTTGTTTTCCCTCAGTTCTGCTGGTAAGTGGGCCAGGAGAGGATATGTGGGCACAGGGCTCCTTGTGGAAACAATCACCTTGGGTGATCCTGGGCAAGTAGGTCAGTGCTGAGTGTTTGTGTAATGGTGGTGCTGCTGGTACTGCCTGGGATCAGCTCAGAGCATCACTGCCCCCATCATCTCATCATCTTCCCCTTGGCCAGGGAGACTGTGTGTAGCCCCAGGGAACCTCTTCCCCAAATCCCAGTGACAGCTTGCTGTGGCTTTGTGCCTTAGTTTGCTGCAGTGATGCCTTTGGATACCATCATGGACACTGTTGGAGGGAGAGCCATGGAAAGTTGGTGAGAGTCTGACTTGAGCAGGACATGAGAAATGTCTCTCTGTAGGTCCAGAGTGTTGTGATGGACATTGCAGAGGGTTAGGGGGGCCAGCCACCGTATCAGTGAAATTCTTAACTTGAGAAGCATCCTTGGCTTTTACACAGTGCCAGTGTAATTCTGCTCTGGTGGTTTGAGCGTTTATTAAGATTTAATTGGGAAGGAATTGCAAAGGTGTAGGCAAAGAGCAGCACAAATGTCTTTATTCAAGGAGAATTAGTGTTTTCAGGCATCCTTTCCGACTGACAGCCCTGGAAGCTTTTTCGTTCCAATATTAGTGCCAATTCCTTGAGAATAGTCAGGTTAACACATACATTATGTTACCTATAGAGTCACAATGTGTGGACAAAGGACCTGACAGCTGAAAGGCTGAAATAAAGCCAAGGAATAAAACAAGGTAGGGGTCTTGGAGCAGTTTACCATGCAGAGATACCTGACAGGAAAGCTGCAGGCTTTAGTGAAGCTGATTTTGCGTCACTGGAACTGCACCTTCTTCTAGCAATGGAATGAGCTGCTTCTGGTTGCCATAGTTTTATGCCTCAGGGATGTTTTCCTTCATGCTTTTGGACTAAAAGGATGTCTGCTCCTTGGCCAGTTCACTTCTGCAGGATTTGGGGAAGAGAAAAAGAGGAAATAGGAATGCGCAAAGTGCGTTTCTGGAGGTAGGAAGCTGTGTGCTGAGCAGCTTTGGGCACGTAAAGGAGATGGGAGAAGCTGGTTGTCATCAGCAGAGCAGGGTGATAGAAAGGCCATGGAAATAATGGGCTTTGTTTTTTTTCTGAACGTAAGAAAAGGCAGGTTGGCCCTGAAATGAATAGGTTGTAGCAGCAATTTCATCTCTTGATCCGCACCTGAATCTGGGAGATACCAGCACTGTAGATGTACCTTGGGAGGGAAAACTTGTACAGATCTTTAATGTCTATTAAGCTGTGTTGGAAAGTTCAGCTTTGGGGGATTTTCAGACATGGAGCTGGTGGGAAGAGAGAGACCTACTGTGTTTCTTGTTGCCTCCATGGAATTTTTATGTCTGGTTGCCTTACTGATAGTACACAATGCAGTTTGATCCTATTCTCTTCTTCCCGTCTCCTGTGAACAAAGACCGGCAAAACCCAGCCTTGTCCTACAGGATTTATTTGTCTGTTTGCAGAAACACTCCAAGGGACAGGATCTACTTAAAAAAGTCTGTGACCACCTCAATCTGCTGGAAGAAGACTACTTTGGTTTGGCCACATGGGACACGCCAACCTCCAGGGTAAGCAGCTGCTGGTCCCAAGGGGATTCAGCTCTTTCTGCATCATTTCCCCAGGGCAGGAAGTGGGGCAGAAGCTTCTCTGCAAACTTGTTTTGGTGTCCTCCCTTAGTATGGATTGCAGGTCATGACACAGGAAGAAATGGTGAATTAATTACTACAGGAGTGTGGATTTTCATCAAAAAGCTATGTGAATCATAGAATGAATCCTAGTGAACTTGGGTCTTTACCTGGAGAAAAGTAATTCTATTCGTCTACTGCAAAATGATGTCATTAAGTTATAGAGCTGAAGGAGTCAGGCTACCCTGGCACTGGTGTCAGCATTGGGAAGGTTTGTTTGGAGCTGTCCAGAGCATTTGGAGTTGAGCCGTTGCCCTGCAGAAGAACAGATGTGACTCTGTACCAAAGCTTCTACTCACGGTTTCAGTTTAAGGTCTGTCTTTGATTTGACTCAAGCAGTGTCTTATCTTTTGAGACCTTGGTTATCCTCTAACTCAACAATTACTCAAGTCTATTTCATAAAGCCAAAAGTGAGGTAATTGAAATTAAGAGCCCAATTCTGTGTGCTTTACACCAGTTATGTTGGTCCATATTCTGATTCTTCCTCTGCTTCACAACAATCCTCTGTGGCCAGGTTACTGACTGAGAGATGTTTGTCATTAAATACTTTATATTGTTTTATACAGAAGCAAAATAACAACCAAAAATAACACTATTTGGGACAAGGCAGAACTCCTACTTTGTTTTACGGTCTCTGGTGTCTTCCAGTTTTCTTGGATGTGAAATGTGTTTCCATGTATATAACCTGGATATTTTTTATATCAGAGGATTTTTTTAAATCAGAGAGTGTTTTGCAGAGGGAGGGGTAGGTGTACTTTTAGATCAAATCAAGAGCAAAAAGATTGTAGCTGGAGCAGCTCAGCTTCTGTGTGTGCTGTGGGCAGCTCACTGCTGCATTTGGATATTAGGAAAATTTCCTTCCCAGAAGGGGTTGTCAAGCCCTTGGCGCAGGCCACCCTGGGAAGTGGTGGAATGTCCCTGGATCAAAAAGCTTATAGATGTGGCACTTGCAGATACTGCATAGTGCTAAAACTTGGCAGTGCTGGAGTAATGATTGGATTTGATTAGAGGACTTTTCCTGTATGATTCTGTGGTCTCCCGGACCCTCGGACTTGCTCTTCTCATGTCTAGGCTTTTGGCATTGATTCTTCTGGAAGCAGAAGCATGTACCTTCTCCCCCTAACCAACAAGGGCTGAGAGGTTGTGCAGCTTTTTAACTGTAGGGAGTGAAAACTGATTGTTTTGTCAGATCTGTGTCCCAGAGCTGGAAGCTGGGGCAGATGAGGTTGTTCAGCTCCATTGTGGAGAAAGCTGGTTTGGTTTGCTCTGATGGGTGAAAACACCATTACTTTTTTTTAAATCTTTCTGGTTATGTTTCATTGAACTTCGAAATCTGAAGCTCTCATGCTGTAACTTCCAACAAGACCTTCCCCAGAGTTACTGATTCACAGGTAAAATGGTGTTAATGGGATCCAAGGATTGGGCTATTGCACCTCACCTGCAGTTGTGTAGAGCAGGCGGAGATATACGTGTATATTCCTGGATAGGGAAGGGTTGTATGTGACATTTTCCACCTTGATATTCAGGGAATAAACTTTCTGAGGATCAGTAATTACCCACATGGGCATAGCAGAGGGTGACAGTGGGATTAGGAGGTTGTGACAGTGGCTGGATCAGCTGGGCACCATGGAGCAGCAAGGAGCTCATTGCCCTGAAAGGGAGGCTTGTCTGCCACTGATTCATGACCCAGTGGGATAAAAGTGCTGTTAATTGCTGTTCCCATCATTGTTGGCTGGATCAGGCGGGGTGGGATGCATGACTGCACCCTGGGCTCACCCCAGTAACGAGCAGTTGTGGCACCAGTTTAGCCATGGAGATGCTGTGCTCCAAGCTGTGGCCTTAAAAAGGCAGCAAATCTTCCTTTCAAATGGATTTTGTATCCCCACTTTTATATATTAGAGTAGGCATATAAAAAAAGGAGATTAAATGTAAGTATTACTGTATCCCTGCCATGAAGTTACGTGTCCTTCTGGTCAGGAGGGATTAGCTTGGGGGATTCAATGAGTTAATTCCTTCACCTCAGGAGACCTGGATGTCCAAATCCTATTCAGACCTGGTGAAAATGAAGAGGTGTTTAAATGTAACCTCTGCAGGAGGGTTGCTAGCCCAGTGCCAGCACCTGCAGCAGGACAGGCCCTGACTCCTGAAAATGGAAAGGCTTAGACCATGGAAAAAACGGGAATTGTGTTTTGAGGCTTAAATTGCACCACCATCCTGCAAAACCCCAAATTACAGAGGAGGAGGAAAAAAGGATCTATTTCTAAATTTGTAGCAGAGATAATACTTGAATCATAGATAAAAGACATGAAGTTTATGTCACACTCCTCTAAAAAATTCCAGCCTTACTCAGGAATTGGATGTTTTTATTTGTATTTCAGCAATTAGGTCAATGAAAACTATAGCTAATAATAGAAAGTCGTGGTGATCTTTGATCTGAATAGGGTAAGTAAGGATATACAGGGGTTCTTAAAATTAATGTATCTGTCCTATTTACCTATTTTTAAGGGTTCTGGAGAATAAAAAAGGTGTTGTACAAGTACCCCTGATAGCTGGATGTGGCTGTGGCCATACCTGTTACTCTGTTCTTGCAGCCCCAAATAATCTGCTTTTTTGGTTTTTTTTCCCTCTTGTTACTCCTGCCTCCCTTGTGAGTCCCTGGTAGGTGAATGGTTGGAAATACACCCACGGAGACCACAGCCTGGAGTGAAAGTAGTGAAGAATGCACCATCTTGTCAGTTTCCATGGTTGCCTTTGTGTCAAATATTTTCCTTTCTTTTTCTTCCTGTATTTTTAGCAATTTTCAGCTTTCTGTGGTGTTTCTGGAATGTCTGGTAAACTGTGAATGTTTTTATCCTCTTACAGACATGGCTGGATCCTGCCAAAGAAATAAAAAAACAGGTTCATGGTAAGTAGATGTAATTTATCATTTGTAGTGGGGTGTGGTTTCTCCCAGTGTGGCTCCGGTGAGCCATCCAGGGGGCCCAGGAATGGGGAGAGGTCAAGTGAGGGTGTCTGGCAGGGATCAACACAAGTTCAAGCAGTCTGTGCATTCTTTGTGGCCTTCTTAAGATCTTCTTAATGTAAATTTAGAAAAAAAATGTAATTTCCTTGGCAAAACAGCTTGACTTGTGTTTGCCTGAAGGAAAGCCACACTGTCAGTGCAGTGCTGAAATGGGGATGTACTTCTTGCTGGAGGATGGGAAAATGGGTGTCAGTGGGAGCCACTGAAATCCCAAAGGAGATTGCGAGACCCCAGGCAGAATTTTATGCTGGAACAAGGTTTATGGACTGTGAGGCTGTTTTGGGCTCCAAATAGGGGCACTGGAATGATAAATGGCTTTAGAAGTATCAGCTCAAATGTCAGATGTTCTCTCAAGTTGTGTTTTAAGGTCTGCTAGCACTGAATAAGTTCAAGATGAGGGCAGTGTCAAAATTAAATATGTTTTAGAGGCTTTTGTTTTCTCTTGGGAGTAAGTCTGACTGCTTTAGAAGTCTTGGGAAGGAAATTACTGGTTTTTGGATCCTTTTGGTGGGAGGCCGAGGACAAAGTGTGTCATCAAATGCAGCTTTGGGGGGCAGTGCGAGGCTGTGGAGTAGGGAAAGCTCCTGGTCTTGCCATCTTCTCTTGGAATCAGTAGCAGGGTGCATGTGAAGGGCAGGAGCTGCTCCATCCATAAAATTCATCCAGTGAATGTAATGACCAGCAGCCTGCTGTGAATTCTGTTCCTATGGGGATGGGTTAAATTACTTGATTTTACTTCAAGTGAAGGTATTTTGCATGTACATGCAAATATGTGGACACCAGTGTGGTGGTTTTAGGTAACCTCTGCTCCCTTCATTGTCACCTTGGAATCACTTGTTTTGAACTGTGTGTGATGGAAACAACGTGCCTTGTGTTTAATCCGTTATGGCATTGCATAAGAAGTAAATTCAGGAATTCTCCATTCCCCCTGTTGCCTTTGTGAGATTGGAATAAACCTCTGAGTGAGTTAAGTGCAGGGGTAGATCTTCTCTTTCTGAAATAAATCTTATTTTGAACTAGTGTTAAAAGGCACAGCAGGGGGAGATGTAACTATGGAAATCACTCCGGACTAACTTCTACTGGGAAATGGGATTCTTTTCAAGGAAAAGAGAGAGCTACCTCTTCAGCTGTGTTATCTGGGCTGTCCATACCACATATCATGCCAATTCTATGTGTGTTTATGTGAATTCTGACTTAGTTCATGCCTGTAATGGTGCTATACAAGGTTTGAAACAAGGAGTATTTAAGCAATTAGGTCTGGACTTGAAAAGCTCTTCCTATCCTAGTGCTTTTTGTCTTCATCCAGAGGTTGATGCTTGTGTTGGGCTAAATTTAAGCTGTGTCTGAGCAGCTAATCCCAGTGCATTCATCTGAGGAATGATTTAGCACAGCCTTCCTTGAACTTTGAAATTTGGGTTAAGCAGTAAACCAATCTATTCAATTGGTCAACCAACTAATTAATTAATTTATAGTCTATGCCTGACCTATCTTGATGAATCCATTTTCAGTCAATGAAAAAACATGTCAGTCATTGAGCTTCTTAGCAATTAATTTAATTTTTGCCACAAGTTGTGGTTAATCCAGGTGATTTTCCCTGACTTGCTTTTTTTCCTCCTGCTTTTCTTACCTGCTGTAAATGAAATCACATCTTATGCTTACACAGGTGTTAAGCTGCAGCCAGCTGTGAGAGCAAGCAGTATCAAATCAGTGTTGCATCTGCTAAATTCTGAGATCAGATTGGCTATTCTTAGCTCTTTTTTATATCAACTGGTCATCACAAAGCTGTCCCAGTGTGTTTATTTCTCTCAAGTTCTCTCTTATTGCAGGAGGCCCCTGGGATTTTACCTTCAATGTCAAGTTTTATCCACCAGATCCTGCCCAGCTAACAGAGGACATCACCAGGTGAGTTACCTGGGGATCCTACTGCCATGTTCTCTTGGATATGGAATAGAAATGTTTCATATTTCCCTTCAGGAAGGAGATCAGATGCCTTCACCATTTGGAGAGGGTTTGGTTTGCTTTTAGTGGATGTGAGGATTCTCCCACACTCCACTAAAGTCCATGTGTAAAGCAATGTCATTTATAATTCTGCCATATGTATGTTCATATAGAAAAGTAAATTCTTACCTAAAGCCAAGATTTTCTGGTCATAGTGTCCTTTACTCCCTTTGCAGAGTGGAGGTGACCTTGAATCCCTCAGTCCTCCACGCTGTTTACCTTGGAAATGAGTAAAAATTGGAAACAAGCATTGTCATATATTCATCAGTGGCATAAAAAAAGAGACTGATCCTCAAGTTAATAAATTTCTCTCTGTTCTCTGTGAATAAGTATTTTCCTTTCTGCCCTCAGGTATTACCTCTGTCTGCAGCTTAGACAGGACATCCTTACAGGGCGGCTTCCCTGCTCCTTTGCCACCTTGGCTCTGCTGGGTTCCTACACGGTCCAGTCAGAGTTGGGAGACTATGATCCTGATCTCCATGGCCCAGATTACATCAGTGAATTCAAACTGGCCCCAAACCAGACAAAAGAGCTTGAAGAAAAGGTTGTGGAGCTTCATAAAACATATAGGTAAGGTGCGGTGGCTGGAGGACTTGTTCGTGCACAGCAGCACAAAATAGGGGCAGTAATGGGATTTTCTGGTGTTTTCCCTACCTCTGTGAGATACAGAAAACCTGTGGATGTCCTATTGCTGGAAGTGTTTAAGGCTATGCTGGATGGAGCAGGGAGCAACCTGGGATAGTGGAAGATGTCCTTGCTTATGGCAAGGGTTGGAATGAGATGATCTTTGAGGGCTCTCCCAATGCAGACCATTCTGTGATTTTATGATGACTCTGTGAACATTAACTTTTAACAAAAAATCTAATACTTTGGACAAAATATTTCTAGAAGCAGGAACTATTTTTTCCTGCATGAAGAAGAAATTATGTTTTTATAAAGCAAATGGGAAGTCTTGCAATTATTTAGTAACAAGTGTTTTTTTTCTCCGCAGAATAGTCATGAAAAAGTGGGGTTTGGTTCATGTGCAAATGTAAAATTTACTTGTTTTAACCTCACCCTTTGCCTTTTAAAAATATATTTCTTTGGGATTTATGTAATTTTGGATTGTAGTTTGATCTAGTTTCTCTGTTTACACACTATAGCCTACAGCCTGTTTGGGACATTCTTCTACCATATTTAGTGAGTAACATTGTGGGAGGACTCCAGGTGATCCAGGAATTAGAAACCTGCAGTTAAGTGTTTCCTAGTGCAGCCATGACCTGGGCAGGTGTGTCTGGTTCAGGTAGGGTTGAACAACTCCTGCAACTCTCCCTGGTATCAGATTCAAGGATAAACTTTGTCCTCATTCTGTTTTGGACATATCTTCCTAGAAAGGAAAAGATGGAGCAAAGACAAGACTTTCTGACAGGCAGATGGGAGCAAAAAACTGGAGCACATTGGGAAGGGTGGATGTGGGCTGTGACTGTGACCACTCAACACCTCACTCAAGCCTTCAAATCAATATTTTAAATTTATTCCCTTCCATTTACACTGAGAGAAGAGGAAATGAGGGAAAATAAGTACTGGACCTCTGACAAGCTTCATGACTTGGAGTCAAAGGCCGTTTGCTGTGCTAGAAGTAGTGGATCACAGTGCTGAATTATTCATGCCCTCATCAGAAGGAGACTTTAATGTATGAGATGTAGTTATATTTAATCTGTCTGCATGTGCAGGAGAAAACAACACATCCCCATTTAATTTCTAGTCTATATTTTGTGAACATTAAACTTCAGAGGGTTTTCAGTGGGAATGATAGAATCATGGAATTGTTTAGATTATAAAAGACCTTGAAGACCATTGAGTTCAGCCATTACCCAGCACTGCCAAGCCCAGCACTAAACTATGTCCCCAGGTTTAACATCCATATGTTCTATGGACATTTCCAGGGAAATCTCTGCTAAACCATGCTCTGGCTCTTGCTACTGTATTTGCAAAGCACAAGGCACATATCAATATAGTGACTGATCCTGGGGCTTTCCTACAAGATTGTCCTTATAGTGGACTTCGCCCTGTCTCCCACCGCTCAAACCTCTGTTTACATCACTCACAAGATGTATGTGAGCGTTCAGTAAGGAAGACATCAAAGGAGGGTAGAAAATGAAATGTATGCAGCTGAATCCTCTCCCAGCAGAGCTGTTATTGTACCTCATACACCAGAAATGTACTAACAGGGACACTTCAATAACGTTGATAATGGCCTCTGTTATCAGGATGTCTTTGTTAAATTGTGCCCCTCCTGCAGACAGGGCACCATCTGTTCCCAGAAAGCCCTCATTCATCTGGTTCCCTGGCTGGAATCTCTGCTGAGTGGTTTCAGCTGTCTGTGTGTTTGGTTGGAGAACAATAGCTGGGTTTGGGGAGGTCTCGAGGCAGCCAGTCTGGAAGGAATAGGACCTATCACCTCTTGCTCAGTTGGGTTTCTTCTGCTGAATCAAGTTTTGTCCCCTCACTGCTTTTTCTCACTTCCTTCTCTAGTGCCTTTACAACTTCACAGGAATAAAGTGCAGCCGTGTTATTGGGATGTCTCAAAGCACAAAATTGGGCAGTAAGAGTGATTTCATAATTCATTATCTGGTCACAGATTTGTTTGTGTTGAAAGCAAAAGAAAATCTAATGAATTTCATTAAGTCTGATCTGTCTCCTCTTAAAAGCAACAGTTTTTAGAATACCAATACCTTTTTTTTCTGCAGATCCATGACTCCAGCCCAAGCAGACCTGGAATTTCTGGAGAATGCAAAAAAGCTATCTATGTATGGAGTCGACCTTCACCAAGCCAAAGTGAGAGCCCAGCATGTGTGCACCTACCTGTGGATTTTGTAATTTGCTTATCCTTCCCTTGCAGGAGCAAGTTTACCTGTTTTGGGAAGCTCCTTTGGAAAGAGAAGTATTGAAATACAGACATATAACAGGAATACCTCAGGCATTCCTGCAAGAGAAGTGATTGTGGTTGCTTATTATTTATATGTCACAGGAAACTTTCCAAAGCTCCTTGTATAGACAGGTCTTTGCTCTGAGTAATTTAGAATAAATATATATTCCCTGCCACATGAGCCTCTGTGCTCCAGGAAATGCAGGAAGGGCTCTTGATGAGCCCTTTGGGCAACCATCAGAACAGGAGAGATAAGGAGGAGGGAGGAGGTTGTCAGGAAAAAGGTGAAAGAAGAGTGGCCTTGGAGCTGGGAGCTGGAATCTGGGTGGTGAGGAGATGGATTTATGGGAAGACCAGAGGGATAATTTAGAAGGCAGCTGTTGACATGAAGCTCATAAAGCTGACACTGCTTAAATCCTCATCTGCATTCCCAGGACTTGGAAGGAGTGGATATCACTCTGGGAGTCTGTTCCAGTGGACTTCTTGTTTACAAAGATAAACTGAGAATCAATCGCTTCCCATGGCCCAAAGTCCTGAAGATTTCCTACAAACGCAGCAGCTTCTTCATAAAGATTCGGCCAGGGGAGGTACGACTGGCTCCTGTGGGCTCCTGTCATCCTCTGTTTCTTTGGGATGGTCGCTGTATGTGTCCCTGGAACGGAGCAGGGTGGGGTCAGGCTCTTCTCTGCAGAAACGTTGGACATCGGGGTGTCTGACCCCAGCTGGGGCTCCAAGCCAGCTGCTGACAGTGTAACAACGTGTCATCCAGCACCACCTCCTGGCATCACCGGGTATTCCCAACATCCAGGGAAAGGCCTGGGAGGTTGACAGATGAAACTGGGGCAGAACCAACTCATTTTTTGGAAACGGGGCAAGACAGTTGCTCTTTGTCTTGCTTGCATTCAAAGAAAATAATTAAAAATTAGAATCAGCTTTTCACCTAAGTGCAAGAAGCAGGGAATGGATGCATTGGTGCTGCCTCTCATGAATGGGGAAATCCCTGGAGCAGCATGGTTACATCAGGGAGAGAGGCTACAAAGGGGATCTGCCTCTTTCCTCTTCTTCCTCCTTCTCCTGCTTTCATGACCCAGCCTTGCAGGGAGGTCAGCCCACAGCTGGGCAGTATGACAGGGGGGATAAATCTACGGCCTGTTGCTCTGCAAATCCCTGTGCATCCTGAGGGATGCCTGGGCTAGTGGCCAGGCCCTCTCTTTCTTCTGACCTGAGGTCCTGCTGCACATTGTAAGGCAAGTTCAGCAGTTTGTGCCACAGCAGACCAGGGTAGTGGGCTGGGGACTGGGCTCCTACCACATATATTTCCTGCTATACGTAAATAACTTATGCTTTCCACAGCAAGAACAGTATGAAAGTACAATTGGGTTCAAGCTACCAAGTTATCGGGCAGCAAAGAAGCTCTGGAAAGTATGTGTTGAACATCACACCTTCTTCAGGTGGGTTTTCTGAACAGTAGCCTCACTCTGAGTAACTTAGTGCTTGAATTTAAATATTGAAAATGAACATTGCTCCTTAGCTTTTTGGAACAATGGGAGAGAAATGGTTTCAGGGACGGTAGCTGTTTATTTTGCAGAAAATTTTTAAGCAAGTTCTGCTTTGTAAGACCCATGATTTTTGGGTCATGTAGATGTGAGGCATCATCAGTATGTGCATTTCCTTGGCCAAGTAGATGAAAGAGGGTCCTTTTTATTTCTATTGTAATTCTTCTTCACATGCCCCTTCCTGGCTTTGGAGGTATGATTTTTAAATGTGTGTGTCTTTCAGGCTGACTTCCACTGAGGCCATCCCGAAAAGCAGGTTCCTGGCGCTGGGCTCCAAATTCCGCTACAGTGGCCGGACGCAGGCGCAGACGCGGCAGGCGAGCGCCCTGATCGACCGGCCCGCGCCCCAGTTCGAGCGCACAGCCAGCAAGAGAGTGTCCAGGAGCCTCGATGGAGGTGAGTCAGTCCCTGCTGCGTCTTCTCTCTCCCTTCTGGAGTCACCAGGATGCTGAAGTACTCCTTAAGGAACATCTGGATTCCCTGCTGTACCAAAATGCAGGTGTAACATGTCAGTGTCGTACAAGACCTTGTTCCTGCCCCTTACATGTTTAGGAATTATGTGCCTGTAGTGAGACTGAATTGGTGCTCAGTTGGTTAGAGCAGGGTGCTGATAACACCACAGGAATGGGTTTGTTCTCCATATTGGCCATTTACTTAAGAGTTAGACTATGCTCCTCATGGATCCCTTCCAACTCAGAGTATTCTGCGATTCTCTGATTCTGAGTTGGACTTGATGATCCTTGTGGGTCCCTTCCAACTCAGAAAATTCTGATTCATCACACAACCTTCATTCACATCAACAAAACCACCCAACCAAACCAAAAATTCCCCCAACACAGAATAAAAGTGGATGATTTGCACCTAATCCACCCCTTTTCCCTTCACCACAATTACAACAAGAGTTCCCCGTGATCATTCTGCTCTCTAATATTGCTCAGTACTTTTGCCCAATACCTCTCCCAGTTTTTATCCTTATCTCAATATCACAGCACTGTGAAGGCTGTTATGGGTAAATGAGCTCCATCTCAGCCAGACACAATACAAAAATGCAAACCAAGGGTGGTCCCAGCAGAGCTGACTGATGAAAAGAATTTAGGTAGGTGCTGAAGGCTTATGGCTAAGTTCTACTTGTAAAAATATTTCTTCATTTGATCTCAAAGCATTTTCCTTTGGAAAATCAGAAATTAAGCCTCTCTGTTTGTTTTGTTTAATGTGACTTCTTGAATTCTGTAGTTTTATGTGAGGAGGAAATTTTTGCCATGATAAAAACTTTTTCATTGTCTCTTAAAGCGATGCTCAGGTTGGAGTTGAGATAGGCTTATCTTTGAGATTTTAGAAAGAAATTGATAGCAGCAGAGGAGGTGAGGCATGGAAAAAGGAGTGCCTAAGTTTGGTCCATGTCATCTGTATCACAGGGTATTAAGATCCAAGGAAAGAGGGGCATCCCTGTGCACCACAGGCACCTGGCTGATGGAGCAAGGACCGTGTTGCTTTGATCCCTCAGTTTGTGCTGCAGCCTGGGGGGACCAGGGCTGTTCAGCATCCCATGGCCAGAAGCAGCTAGGCTGTCCCTGCTTCTGGGCTCAGTGATCTCCTGAGCCTGGGTTTTATGTCGTGGAGCTGGAGGGGAGGGATGGTTCAAACTCCATAAAGCAGCAAAGCCAAATTCCAGCTTTGGAGTCTGGGCATGTGCAATTCCTCAGGCACAGTGCACAGCAGCAAGGGAACCAGTGCTGCTGGTTGCCTGTTGACCATGTCATTATGACTCCAGTTGAGTAGAGAAATTGCAGCTGCAGTGCTACACCTGGATGTCAGAGCTGGGAGAAGAGCAGCCTGGGAATGTGACACTCCTGCCCCCTAGACATCTGCGCCTTTGTCATGTGGGTGGTCGTTAACATGTGCCCGTTTCTTCAGCTAAACGTGCGACTCAAAAGGTTGAGTTCAGAGCCATAGAGGAGGAGAAGCAGAAGGAGGTGGTGGTGGTTGAGGTTCCTGAACCAAAACCTGTGGATCAGATCCGAGAGAAGCCAGGTATAGCTGTGGTGGTGTCTAAAACTCTCTGCAATGCCTTTCCTATCCTCTCTACATGCTCGTTCCTGACAATTTCCAATTTTCACCAAATCTGGTGGCTTTCTCTCTTCATTTCTTTGCAAGAAGAGTTTCCCAGTGAGAGGAGACACAGCCCAGCTCTGGAAGACTCCTTAAATTTCCATCTTACACCTCATTAGATTGCAATTCTTGTGGGGAGGTGGGGAAAAGATTAGGATGTGGTGGCACTTGAGAACTCTTGTTAAATGTGGGTAGTTTTGTATTTATGGATTTGAAAACTTAAAAGTTTTCAAGTTTTGATCGTGAAACTTCTCATGAAGTTTCTGAAATTCTTCATCCCAGAACCTCCTTGCGATTTTGGGTTGGGTTTTTTTTCATGTTTGAGAAATGCTACCCATTTTGCTCTGTGGAGCTTATATTTCTCTTAGAATAGGTATTTTTAATAAATATCAATGCCCTTAAGAGGTGTGTAGGTACAACAGCACATTTGAGTACTCATAAATGTTATCACAGCAGCAGTGTTGCAAATATTTGCAGTCTTCATCACTTGGATAGTGACCACCTGTGGTGTGTTAGGGTTGGAGATAATTCACATGCAAATGCTTTGGGTATTCTCCTACCACCCAGAATTTTTTGACTGCATTACTGCTTTTGACTGCATGACTGCTTTTCTAGGATATAGATCAAGTTTTCATGAAGTGTGACAAACTTCCTCTCCATGGGCATTCCTTGAATCCTCACTAATCAGCATCTCCTGGTGGGGAAAGGCCAATGCTGTAAAAGCAGAAGGTGGGGAATTTAAGACACCAGGGCAGATTTGAAGTTGATCACTCAAGTATATTTAATTAATGCTGCTAGGTTTCTGATAACTTTTTTGACTGGATGTGTTTTTCCTGGATTTTGCCAGCCAGCACCTGCGTACCTCCAGACTTAGCAGGCAGAGCCCTTTCTAGTTCCACACTCAAGAACTGTTCCTGTGTGCCACATCTCCTTTCCTGGGCAAGGAGCCCATAAGTCTTATCTTTCCTCCACTCATCCAATACACTGCTGGGTCTGACAGCACTAAAAGGACTGACACACAGTTCCATTGTGGAAAATGACTATTGAGCTGCCTGCAAACTTCCTTGCTGTTCCCAGCTACTGAGAAGGGTCTCCTCATTTCTTGCTGTGGTGATCATTGTGTGTTTGTGTGGGTCCCCAACCCCCATTAACACCTGCAAACCTCTTTTTAGCCAAACACACTCTTGAAACTTTTGAAATGAAACCCATTGCAGAGGAGGAAGAGGAGGAGGAAGAGGTAGAGGTCGTTAAGGTTCCTGTTGTCAAGCCAAAGTCAGTGGAGCTGGTGCAGCCGCGGTCAGGTACAGCTGCAGTGGTGTTTGGTGGCAGTGGCTCCTGTGCTGTTGTTACTGGGGTGAGGTGATGCAGTGCTGTAGGACAGGTTACACTGGTTGTAGTGGTGTTTGTTGGCACTAAAATCACTCCTGGCTTTGCTGTGTGCTGCTTTTCAGGTGTGCTCTGGGTGCAGTGAGGGGGTGCCATGCCCTGGCTGTGTGTGGAAGTGAGTGTGCAGTGGCCTCTTGGAGCTGCTTCCATACTGTCCCTTCTTGTGAAGTTTGTTCCCCTGAGCTGCAGGAGTGTACAGTGCCTGGAAATCAGGTTATGAGATCTGGGACTGCTAGAGGTCAGCTATATTCCACTTTATTTCTTCACTAGGGAACTGCTATTTGCCTAGCTGGGGAAGGATGTCAGAGCAACATCGCTGCTGCAGACAGATCCATATTAATCATAACTAAAAGTAGAGTTGGTTATTTGTTGCAGGAAGAGGAGATTGAAGCCATAGAGGGAGGTAACTGGGAACATCACATGTTTCCTTGGTTGCTATGAAAACCACTGGAGAATGGTCATGGCCCCAAGGCTGCCAGAGCTCCAGGAGCATTTGGACAATGCTTTCAGGCACTGGGTGGGATTGTTGAGATGTTCTGTGCAGGACCAGGAATTGTACTTGATGATCCCTGTGGGTGTCTTCCACCTCAGCAGATTCTGTATTCCATGGGATGTGTGGCAGCAGATCAGACATCAGCTGGTGTCAGACCTGAGCACATCCAGGGCTCTCCCATTGTAGCTGCCTCTTCTCATCCATCTCTGCACTTTCCCTCATCCTGACTTTTCTGCTCCCAGTAGGGACTGTTGGTGAGGTGATGGTCATGGTGATGGTGATCGGTCATAGAATTCTGGAATGGTTTGGGTTGCAAGAGACCTTAAAAATCACCCCATTCCAACCTATGCTTTATATCTCAGTGCTTTTTACTGTCTTTAAATCATATGTCAAAATAGCCAAAGGCAGTTAATCATGAAAATGTAACTAAAATACAGTTCTGGCAGCCCAGAACTCATTGTTGGATGGCACAGGAGAAGCTTGGTGTCTGTTACCATTTTTCCTGTATGTCTTGATACTCTGGGAGAGCAGGAAGAGAGATGGCCCTGCAGATTTACTGATGGCAATATTTCCTTTGCTGCTTCCTCTTTAAGGTGGCATTTTAACACATCCATAACTTTTTTAGCCAAACGTGATCTTGGCAGTATTGAGATAAGCCCAATTGAAGAGGAGGAGGAGGAGGGAGACAAAACGATGGTGGTGAGAGAGCTAGAGCCGCTGCCGAAGGAGTCAGGTACCACCTCAGTGACAGCTTTGCACTCCCAGCATCCTCCTCATCCCAGCCGTCCCTGCCATCTCACCTCTGTACAACCTTCCCAGCAGCTGTCACTGCTTCTGTGACATGAATACACTTGGACACCACACTTACTGTCCTTTGAAGAGGATAACACAGTGTCTGGGTCACAGAAATGAACTGCTGTGCCGAGGAGCAGGGAGAGGGTGGAGCTGGCAGTGGTTGGGTGGGTTTTAAGATTGTTTACAGCAGGATGTGATGTCTAGGAGTTTGTCTTGAAAGTGTCATTCCAATCTCTGGAAATTCAGAAATTTAAAAAAATTCTTTTTTTGCCTCCACCTTGTACATTTTTGGCCACATGGATACCTTATTCTCTCTATGTTTTATTAAGACACCGATGAGATGTTGTTACCTTTTCAGTACAACAGGATTTCTTACTGAGGAGTTGCTTGAAATTACAATTTTTATTTTAACAGCAAATTTTCTATGAGTGACCTCATGTTGGCTGGAATATGATACACAGTATGGTCCTGCTGCAAACTGTGATTTTGGGAATGTGAGACCATGTCAAAGGTATTCTTTTATGTGACAGGGTATCTTTTAGTGAAACATCCCTAAAAACCAACATCAGGAGGACCAAATAGCTTATTATATACCTAGGTGCACACAGGAAATGAATTTGGGCTTGCTTTGTCACACAGCTTTGGCTTGACTATTTCCTTGGGTTTGGGCAACTACCTGGCAAATCAGGAGCTGAAGGAAAAGAGTAGGCAGTTGATTTTGTGTTCACCCAGTGCTTATATTTACAACTGTCATCCTCTGAAAAGATGATTTTTGGCAGCATGCTGTTCATTTCTGCACTGTCACTGGCCTGGAGGTGATGGGTATCTTCCTGCTGTGCTGCCTTGAAGATATCCAGCTCAGACATACAGCCCCACCTGCCTTGAAACCCACCGGGAAGTTGCTGAGAAGTTTGCTAGAGCAATGCTTATTGATTATTTTTTGGGGGGGGGGGGGGGGTGAAAGCGTGTTTTTCTTCCAGAAGCCATATGTTTCTGCATGAGGAGATGCCCATGAGTACAGAACTCCTCACGTTGTGTCTTTTCTAGTTGCATTGGAAGGAAGTCCGTGTCAGTTGTGTGTGAAGGACCCAAAAATTCATGGCACAATGTCAAAAATAGATTTGCCTTTCTGGTGTGGCTTCTCTGCAGAGTGCAAGCTTGCTTTTGTAAACCATCTGCTATGGGGTTTTATTTGATTTTATTTTAGGCCATAAAGAAAATAATCTCAACTCTCCTGTACTAAATGCACAAGCTGCTTTGCTCAACATCTTTATTTCTTTTCCCATTTATTTGTCCTCCTCCTCCTTCTCCATTTCTTTTTAAATGACAGCACTGTAATTTGGAAAGACTTTGCACAGTCCTTTGAAAAGTCACCTGCTCTGAACTGTGTCCCTGTCTGTCTCCCATCCTCAGCAGTGGCTGTGATAACCCCAGAGCGGAGTCCCCGGCCCACTTCAGCCCCAGCTATTGCTCAGAGCCACCCTGCAGAGCCAGCCCCAGCTAAGTCCAACGTGAAGGACATGGCCACATCTAAAGTAGGGAAGGAAACAGCAAAATCTGATGGGAGACGTGAAGAATATCCACTGGAGAAACATGAGGACCCAGTGGATGCCTCAAAGGTAGGTCAGAGCAGTCTCTTGGGAAGAGCTGGGCTGGAGCATTGCTCAAGAAAGTCACCCCAAAGCAGCAGCTCTGTCCTGGGAGATGGGGGGTTTATCCCTCATCCCTCAGTGTTGGGTGGGAACAGGCACAGGGGTCTGGGTGCCAGGGAAATCCCAGCTGTGATGTTCCAGGTGGAAGAAGGAACTCCAGGGCAGTTTGAGTATTGGTGGTTGTAGTCAAAGCAAGTGCAGCCTGCTGATAGATGGTAAAAAACACTGGCAAGAGTTGCACGTGATCATGGAGCTAGAGTTCAGAGCTCACCCATGGCCAGACTGTGCACCCTGATTCCTGGTATGACAGCAGGAGGGAATTGCAGTGAAATCAGTGATAATGGATCTGGTCTGCAGCCCAGTGCCAGAATGTTTTTCAGCATGATAGGCCTTTGCTGGGAGAGCTGGTAATACAGTGCCTGCAAACTGGACTAAAACTTCAGTTAGTTTAAAACTTGAAACTTGAAAATGGCACTGGTGAGACCTTGGGGAGTTTATTGTTTATATTCTGTACTTTTAATGGTTATTTGATTTTTATATAAATGTGTGAGTTCTTTGCTGGGGTTGATACTTGTGTGCTGTTCTAATAAGTCAAAATAATGTGCAAAATTATTGCTGATATTACGGTGTCCATAATATTCAGCAGATATTACTGACTTATTGAAACCTTACAGTGGTGCAACAGAAGTGTTTGCCTTGAGACACAGTTTTCACATTACTCCAAAATTTAGCTGTTCTCAGCATTTCTGGAACCACATAATTCTAAACATATCACACAAGTCAGTCTTGTGAGCATCTCCAGGGAAGATCCCTATTAATTAAGGTTTGGAGATGGAGGTGAAGAAAGAGCAGTTGCTTCAAAAAATTCCATGGCCTGCATGAACAGTAATTTTTAAATGAAACTGCTGAAGAGAACTTCAGACTGGCAGTGTGGGGTGGGAATTCGAGCACAAAGATCCTGCCCCGCTATTCCTGCCCAGCTGCTCCCCCCAATTATGTTACACTGAGAATGTGGGAATTTTACTTCTCCCATCCTACTTATTACAGGTTTTTTTCCTAAATGCTTAAACATTAGATTTTTTTCTTCTTTAAATATAGTTGTGGGAGGAAAATATGGATTTGAACGTACTAAATTTACTTTTCTCCAATGGAGCTGCATCACTTCTTCTAACACCCACTGATGCTTTTGCCTTCAGAGTATTTGTCAATCTAGTTTCCCTAAAATACTTCCTTTAGAGTGTTAAGACAATCTTGGCTTTCTACTCATGGACAGGAAAGAACTTATTAGGAATAGGAAAGAACCTATTTTGTGATGTTAGGCTTGGTTTTGTAGCTATGTCTCTTCTTACTGCCTCCTCCACCATAGTACCTGTGATACAACCAATAATTTCTGGTTTTGAGAAGGTGTGTGTTAATTTGAGCATGTTGCTTTGTTTGTATTTTTACTGGGAGATCCAGCTGCCAATGCCATTTGAAAACATTGCCTAACCAAGCTAATGCAAGTGGGAAGCCCTTCTTCAGAAGCACTGGTTTCAAATACAAATAATTCTCAAGCTGGAGGAATTATTTAACATGCTGTTGACTAACAAAGTGCTGGGGAGCTGCCATGTTATTAACCCCTGCCCAGGGCTGCATGTTGGTTTTTGCCTGTTCCCCCAGCACTTCAAAACCAACTTTATGCAGCTGTTTTCAGAAACTAAATGGTTTCTTAAAACAAATCTACTAACAAGAAATGTTTTTGCCAATTTATTTCTTAAATGTAGGTGAGGAAAACACACACTGAGATCACAGTCCCCACCATGAATGGTGCCCAGCCCCAGGTTTGTGCTAATAATTCAGTTTAGGTTGCTCACACTTTTTTTTTTCCAAGGTTCAACATAGTTATATGAACCAACAACTCTTTTTTTCTTTTTTTTTTTATCACTGCCCAACACCAGCAGCCTGCAGAAAAAGAGGAAGAGCTGATAAGAATGAGGAAGGTTAGCCATTTTACGCTTTCACTGGCCAAATTTGCCATGTCATTCATGCATCTGTAACCTGTTTAAAAAGACAGTGCTCCAATTTCTTCATGGGTTTTGGGCTGGGGTATTGATTTTCTTTTAAACTATCAAATACTTGATTTGAAAATTAATAGCCTTTTGTCCCATAGACCACCTCATTGCTGAAATTATGCATGTTGAATTTTCAGAAGGAACACGTATTTTGATTTATGAAATTTCTTCTCTGTAACAAATTTAGCTAGAAACTAAACGTAGCCTGCATTGCCAGAAATGCAAAACAAAAATCAGGAGAAAGCTTCTTTGGTATTGATTAAGTAATAGGGAAGCATCCAAGATGGGAAAGTGGTTACAGTGCAGTTGCTGTGCACATTGGGACCTCGTAAAAGTCCCCAGTGCGGCCTCAAACTTGGGGGTGGGCCTGCATCTCTCAGGAATATGGTGTGGTGACTCTGCTTCCACAGAAAACCAGGAGCTGTCTCTTTGTGGCCAGAGCCAAGGCCCCCTGGGAGCTGTCTCTTTAAAGGACTCATTGCATCTCCCACTCGCCATGAACCAGACCCCCATTCCCAGCGGAATTTCCACTCCATGCTGCCACAGCGCTGCACTCCCAACGCTGAGTTAACTTTTTAATTTGCTGATTTATTGATCGCACAAGACCAACATTTTAATTTTTTGTGCTTTTTTTTTTGTTTTGTTTTGTTTTCCCCTTTTCTTTCATTTTCACAGAAGAGATCAAAGAGGCTAGATGGTGAAAACATTTATATCAGGCATAGCAATTTAATGTTGGAGGTTTGTATGAACTTGAAGCTTTTTTTGAGTTGCATTTGCTAAAACTTCTGTATCTGCACTGAACTTCTTCCTCTTCTGCTGCTGCCCTTGTTTTTGCATGCTCTTGCATGAAAGACCTTTTGATTTTATTTGATATTTTAATTATGCTTCTGCATGGTGACAGTAAGCATGATGATGTGCAGGCCTTCTTCCTTCTTCCTCTTCTGACTTTCATTCTCTCATACCTCCCCAAAATACATGATTGGCAGTGCTCAGATCTGCTCTGGGACCCACTGGCTGCTCAGGGGGGTCATGGATTGTAGTGCTGGGCTCATTGACCAGTTTTTCACTACTTAAAACAAATTTTTTTCCTGGGGGAAAATCCAGTCTGTGAAAATATAAAATTCAGGAGAAGCTGTAGTGAAGGCAGATTGCCTAGAGCAGCTGTGGTTGCCCTTGGATCCCTGGAAGTGTCCATGGCCAGGTTGGATAGGGTTTGGAGCAAGCTGGGATAGTGGAAGGTGTCTCTGCCCAGGACAGGGGGAGAATGGGATGGACTTTAAGTTCCCTTCCAACCCAAAGCATTCCAGGATTATGTGAAATTGTCACCTCTGTGGTGTCCAGGCCACCACAATGTCAATGTTGCTTCAGGCAGGAGTGATCTTTTTGGATGATGCAGTAGTGTTTGCAGCTTTTCCATGCTCTTCCCAGGCCTTTTTGGCCTTGCAGCACCTCACTACCCTTGGGCCTCATCCTGCCTCAGTGCCAAGTCCCTCTGGATCTGACAGAGAGGCTCAGTGGTCAGGGGTGGCTCATCCTTCCATAGTACAGCTCCTCTCTTCGGATTTCAAAGCCCTTTCCACTTGTTTTCACCTAAGCTCAGTCTCAGAACAGACCATGCCAATCATATATTTTCTTTAATACACTCTGTTATGGGAGATGTTTTGTGGCTTCTGATACTCAGTCCTGTGTTACATGTTCCTACTCAAACTTGCAGCACCAGCAGCTTGTAGGGTTTTCCCTAGTGGTATCCCTTGAAAGTGGAGTGTACTAACTGCCTTCTCATCAGAATGTTCAAAGTTTTGCAGCTCCTGTGTGGGTTTCTTGGGGTTTGTTGTTTTTGTTTTGGTTATTTTTTTTGACTGCTACATCATAGAACTTTGAGTCACAAGTGAAGGATCTGCACATGATAGGCAGAGTTTGGCCACCGTTGGAGCGCTCTGAAGACCGTGCCTGTTGCTTTTTCACCTAATTCAAACAGCTCCAATTCCCCAACCCCAAACACAGCTTTATTATTGCTTCTAACTTATTTTTTCCCCTCAGTGCAATACTTGCCTCCAAGCCCTTTCCTTCTCCAGTTCTCTTCCCACAGTTCTGTTGCAGGTACTCCAGCCCTCCCCTACAATAGGGCTGACTCAGCAGCTCACCCCCTTTTTTCCCTTTATTTTTTTAATCCATGCACTTGGCAGATCAGGTATTTTCCTGGCAGACCTCACACTCCTGAAGCTGCCTAGTGATTTTACTGAAAGCCTTTTAACGCTCCATGTGCACTGGCTTCCTGCAGAAAGGGAAAACCAGGAGGAAAAGGGTGACACTGAGCAAGCTGGTTCCTCAAGGTGCTCCCAGACCTGGCTCCACGTACCTCCTCGTGGCTTTGGCTCCTCTGCCAGCCTCCCAGGCCCTGCTCCTGGGCAGTGCTGGAAAGCCAAGGTGATCCTTCTTTCTTCTCTGAGCCAGGAGCAGCTGTAGGGTTCTTGGACCAGGCAGGGACTTACCCCAGAGTCCACAGCAGACTCATTTCTACTTTTTTTCCCTACCTAACAGGCTCTTGCCTTATACTTTCATCTAGGATAGAAGCCAAAATTTGTTATTTTCTCCCCAGAACTGTGCCAAATAAGGTAAATATTTTTAAAGAGGCATTTGGAGTTAAGCCCTGTGGAGGGAGAGTGGTGTGTCCTTGGTGAACTGCAGGAATGGAGATTTTTGGGAGGGCCCTCCTTTAGGGATGCATTTGCTGTCCCATTTTCTAAAATCGATGGGCTGAGTACCACCTAAAAGCACAAAAAGAGTGACATTTCCTGGTGATGCTTTTACTGACCTTGATTTTCCCCTTTCTCGCTGCTTTTTGGCCTTGTCCTGAAAAGTTGTTTGCCTTCTGCAAAAGCTTTCTTTTCTACAGCCTCTGATTTGCTTGCAAGGAAGAGCTATTTTTAAAGGTTGACTTGCCTTGAAGTATGTGTGTTTATGCTGTAAACTGGCATCACACAGTAAAAATCTGACTTTTTCCAGATGAAACATCTTAGCAGGAGTTTCTTGATTGATCCAGCATAAAATAAAATTTCAGTTTGATTTTTTTCCAAAAAAAAAAAAAATCCCATCTTTGTTTCTGAAGTGTAAAACTGCCTATGATTGCTCCTGGAGGGATGAGATGAGAGGGAGGGAAAAAAAATGGCAATGGGGATATTCTGGAAGCAAAGATAATTTCTGCTAGGAAAAAAGAGAAACAGGTATGAAGTGAGTAAATAAAATTGAGAAAATATTTTCTTTATCATCAATTGTATTAATACCTGGAAGTACTCGTGTTAGCAGAGGGTAAAGAAAGCAAGCCCACAAAATTTAAAGATGTTAAATTTAATAACCCAAAGAAACATAGTCTGGCAAATTTAAAAAATCCTGTTTGGGGAAAATCCATGATATTCTAGCTCAGCTGTCACCTGGTTTGGTGTAGCTTGAGATGAATCAATGGCATGTCCTGCTGCTGGAGGAGACCCTGTTCTGGGGTTGCAGTTTATGTCAGTTTATCAAAGAGGAGGAGAGAGGACACTCCCTTTGTGTGTTTGCAGTGTGAGCACAGTTTGGGAAGTTGTCAGTAGTTCTGCTAAGTGCAGCTTTGCTAAACACAGTTTAGGCAGTCCCGAGTCTCTCCGTGTCCCTTCACTTATCCTGTCCTTTTGCTGATAGGATCTAGATAAGACCCAGGACGAAATAAAGAAGCATCATGCCAACATCAGTGAATTGAAGAAAAACTTCATGGAATCCGTCCCAGAGCCTCGGCCGAGTGAGTGGGACAAACGTTTGTCCACCCACTCCCCCTTCCGAAGCCTCAACGTCAACGGGCAGATTCCCACAGGAGCGGATGGAGTGAGTACCTCGGCATGGGGTGTTCCGAGGGGCAGCGCTGCACTGTGGGATTCAGCTCCCCTTAGCTTCTGCTTATTTTCAATTTTAATAGTTAGTATTGACTTGTACCATGTAGAATGTTCTCTGAGAGAATCAAAGCTTTAGTCATAGTATCATAAAAATGTGGTTTTTTGGTAGAGAAGGATGTAAGAATTCCTTAACTGGTATTGATGTTACTTTTCCTAGTGTTGCTGTCAGTGTCAGATGCTAGACAGCACTTCCCATGGCTGGTTTGGGGACTGGTTCATTCCTGGATCTCCTCAGAATGTGGAAAAAAACCCTGACAAACCCAATATCCAAAGACCGAAATTATTACTTCAGTTATAATATTACAGATAACCCAGCGTAGAAGCACTGGGATCGGATGATTTTTCCAAAATCATTTTGTTCTCCAGTTAATCTGGTATGTTGTTGGGTTTTGACTTGCATTAGGAACTCCAGGGGCTGATCTGCTGTGGAGGCTTTGAGAAGACTCCTTGAGTGGCCACAGCAGGGCTGTTCAAACATGATGAGAATCTCCCTCCTTCCAGGAACTGTGTGTTAGTAACCACATACACTCACAGTTTCTCTGCTAATTTGCTTAAAATGGTAATTTTTCAAGGAAAAAACAGTCACCAACTGGTTTCTTCTGGCTAACAGACAGTTCTGTGTCATGCTGGTGGTAACTGGCTCAGATTTGGAGTCTGTGAGTAAAACTGTAGTTAGTGCCTGTGGTAATCAGTCTTTTAAGTGGTAAATGCAATTTTTTATTGCAACAGAAAAATTGCATCCTGACTGCAAGTGGTGGCAATTGGAGACTCTCCTTCCTTCCCAAAGCCCTGCAGATGAACTAGTATTTCATGTTCAAACAAGGCAGATACTTATTAATCAGGAAATAATCTTTCAGTGGATGGAGGGAGGGTAATTGTAACATGTACAAAGGGTTTAACACCGAGTTTATTACTCCTCGAAGCTTGGAGTAAAGCCAGGGCTAAAGGGCTTTTTGTGCCTACTGGAAAAATGAGATCCCCAAAATGAACTTAATCAGGGTTGGTTGTTACAGAAGTTCAGAATGGTTTAGATTGGAAGGGAACTTAAAGCCCCTCCAGTCCCACCCCTGCCATGGGCTGGGGCACCTTCCACTGTCCTGGGTTCCTCCAAGCCCCAGCCTGACTCTCCAGGGATCCAGGGGCAGCCACTGCTTTTGTGGGCAGCCTAACATTGGGATTACCCTGTTTAACAAATGGATGGACTTTACCCTCTGTGGCTGAGCCTCAGTGTAGATTCCTCAGGAGTGTGGGCAGCAGAGCTCTGCTCACAGTGCCCCGTGGGTGGGATAGAGCAGAGGCTCTCAAGCTCTACAACTGCAGTTCAAGAATGTTATTCTTGGTTTTTATAAAGAATTTCTTGCAAGGTGACCACACTGAGACCTTGGAGGGCTGCTGGTCACCATAACTGGATGGTGTGGGCTTGTCCCACCTAAGACTGCAGTGGATCTGGAGCGCTGCAGAATTGGTGTCAGCCCTAGATTTGCATTTCTGGAAGTTCCTTCTTAATCTGGTCCTCTTTGAAAAAGTGATCTCACCCTGAGGTTGCTATGTCCTACTTTGAACTTCCAGAAATGCATCTTCCCCAGGCACTGACCGGGGAAGAAAGATTTCCCTCACGTGCATGTGTTGAAGGATCATAAATCAGATGGTAATTAAGGATTGTAAATCATGGTGCAAAGCCATCGCTCCTGTTCATGATGGTACCTTCGACCTGCCTTAGTGGCCAAAGGGTTTTTTGCCAGAGGCCACTTCTCTGCTATTCCTGTATGTTTTATTATGAGACAACTGAACCGTAACACGCTTTGTGTGTCCAGGTCAAGAAAGTCACTGTCCCATCTTCTGAGAGACAGGTTGGTGGGCTTGAGGCAAAGCTGCTGCTCTGATCTGTGCTTCTGAACCAGATTTGCTATTGCAATGGCACTGAGCAAAAGCTCAACAGCAGCTGCTGGATAATGGTTTTTCATTTTTTTGCTACATTAAGTAGTTTTGTAACTCACACCCAGAGGACTTTGGCACTGCTGCAGCTTTTGCAGCTTTCAGTTTTTGCTTATTTTGGTGCATGGCTGGTTTGAAAAAGCTGCATGACCACTATAACCATGTATTTGGAGACAAAAGCAATTCTGAAAATTTAACTGTTCCCTGTTTTTTTTATGTCGTCTTTATTTTCTTTTTTTTCTTTTTTTTTTTTTTTTTTTTTTTTTTTTTTTTTTTTTTTTTTTTTTTTTTTTTTTTTTTTTTTTTTTTTTTTTTTTTTTTGCATTTTGTATTTTCTTTCGCTGCCCAGTCTCCCAGCTACTTTCTCCCAAATTCTCACCACTTAGGGGTGTGCAAAGAACCAGTCCCAAAATACTGCACTGACCAGCGGAGGTTGGCTCAGCTGAGAGAGCTTAGAGCCAAGTTTTTCCTCTCCTAAGTACACTTGGGTTTGACCAGGGCTGGCAAACTAAAGGGATGTAGAGTTACTGAACAGCAACATTCCCACAATCATTCCTTTCTTCAGCAGAAGTGCTGAAGCACTTGCATGCTGTGTGCTGATTTATTCATTCTGGGTTTTTATCATTCTTTAGACTCCAGAAACAAAAATGCTAAAACACAGAGCAAAATTCCAGGATTTTGCACTGCTCCTACTGCCACTCTGCCCATTCCATGTGTGGGATTTCTAAGATTTACAGTTTTTCACTTGTTCAATAGAATTTTCAAACCAATTGAAATTTTGATACTCTGATCAGAACTTTGGAAAAGTGTTTTGTATCTGCTCTGCAGCCTGGCTGTTCCATGGGATTTTCCAGACACTGGGTTTTAAGGGCACTGTAGATTAGGAAGCTGTCAGAGACCACATTTTGTACTGCACCATTCCTGCTTTGAATGCTTCAAACGTTTTTCTCACTATTCCAATTCCAAAACAATCTGGAAGATTTTGGGCATACACTTTTCTGTGAGGAAAGTCACCAAAGACCCATGATCCTGATACAGATGTTGATGAGCAGAGAAAACATGGTTCTGTGGCTCCAGGGCTGGTGTGACCCAGGCCACCAGCAGCTCTGCTCCCCAGGGCAGTTTATTTTATGTTGAGAAGAGCTGCCATAATGCTTTGCACATCTCCAAGTGTCATTTTGGGCACCTTCCATCTGTCATTTTTGTTCATTTCTCTCTGTCTTTCTTGATCTTCTACCATGAAAGCAGACACAGGAACGGCCTCTGTTAGTACAGAATGAAGACAAACTAAAAGAGCAGGAGATACCTACTGAGACAGCCTTTCCCCGGCCAGCAAGTGAAGCAACTCTTCCAAAGGTTTCTATTACAATCCCTGAAGAGCAGAAATCACTCAAAAAGTGTCAGCTATACTCTAGCATTTTTCCTTCTCCACGTATTCCCTTTATGATGTCCTTTCTCCTGGTCATAGCACTGACTGTTTGGTGGTTGCTCTTTCTCTGAGTGGCAACAGGGTCATGTTGAAACCTGAAGACCAAAGCTCCTGAATTTCTGGGCTGTAGTCTCTGCTGCATCTTCTTTGTCCTGGTCTTTGGTCTCCGTAGTTTGCTGTCCCTGGGAGGGACACCCCGTGACTGTCATGTTAATCCCGCTGTATGTCTTTGTGTGGCTGTGATGGGACCTGGCAGGAGTAGCTGTGGATTGCCAGGTCCATTCTGAAGTTTCCTATGGTGCAAAAGCAAATTCTTTGAATTGTGTTCCCAGCTGCTGTGGGAGAGCAGATGAGGGAAGGAAATTCTGAAAGGAGAGTCTGGTTTCCCAAGCCCCTGACGACTACCCATAGGAATTGCTGGATAATTGCTTTTAAGGTTATTGTTTTAAATGTAAGATATTCACAAGCTGAAGAACATTTGACACTGATCTAAAATGTGCTTTACAGTAATCTGCTGAATCACAGAATACTGGAATGGTTTGGCGTTGGAAGGGCCCATAAACATTATCTTGTTCCCTCTCTGCTATGGGTAGGGAACCTTCCCCTGGACCAGGTTGTTCCAAGTCCCATCCAACCTGGCCTTGAACAATTCTAGGCATGGGAATCCACAGCCTCTGTGGGCAACAAGAGGTTGACTCTCTAGGAAGAACATTGGAATCTAATCCATAAGCACTAAATTTCTAGGAAACTCAGATTGGCATTTAAATAAAAAGTGTTCACTGCTCCTCTTGGTAATAATTTAGGGGCAGGGTGTGCTTTTCATTTTCTAGTAGGGGCAACCTGTGACAAAGTATCCCAGATTCCCTCTATACCCCTGTTCTCACATCCAAGAAAATACATAGTGTTACAGGAGAAAACCCATTGCAAGGAGATATTTATTGTAAAGATAGATTTTTTTTTTTTTTCTAATTTGAAGGTCTTGGTGCACTTGGGATGTGTTTTATTTAATTTGTGTAGAACTAACTGAGGCATGTTTGCTTAGGTCACAGAGATGAAGTTGCCTGTTGTTTGAGTATTCCCTCTGTTGTCATGTTGACTTAACCACATCAGGACACACATCTAATGTTAAAGCCCTCAATTGTTTTTGACTTCTTTAACCAAACTGTTGCATGCCGGTTGTTTTTCATTGCCTACAATGTAAGTGTCTGGATGATGCTCCCATTTATCCAAGTTATCCTGGCTGAGCTGTGCAGGCTCCAGCCCAGCTGGACTGAGCAGAGCTGGTTTGTGAACTGAGAGAAAGTGGGACTTTGTGTCTAAGGGGTTTCTTTTCTGTAAATAGTAACGATGGGGCTGAGCTCAGCCCCCCATTTCTCCTTTCAGCACTAATTCGTGCTCTCCTGTGTCCACTGGAAGACTGGGCTGGACACAGTCACTCTGAGAACACCCCCTCATGTCATCAGTGGTGGCAACTGCTCCAGCAGCATGGAAGAGAAAGGAGAAGGCCTTTATTACATGGGCTAAAATGAGTGAATATATATAAATAGCTGTATTTATAAGCCTTTCTA